GGGGGAGCAGGGAGGAGGAGGGGGAGGAGGAGGAGAGGAGGAGGAGGAGGAGGAGGATTAGCGCGTGGTGGAGGGGGCGTTCGCTTGGTGACTACAAGCCGCCCGCGGCCAGGGATCCCGCTGTGGGGATGGGCCGTAGGACCCGGCGGAGCTCCAATCGCCGAGTCACTCCCTTCTGTCAGGGCTGCCGTGCATGATTTTCAGGGAAGCACCACCCTTTGGGGAAGCTCTCAACCTGATCTACTGACTTCTACGGTCTGTCTTTTACAAGCTTTGAACGACTGGGCAACACATACTAAGCAGAGCGCCACTTAGAAACAAGACGACTGCACGGGTGCACACCGCAATCGTGCACAAGACAAGAAATTCAAAGCAACACAGATGCAGACCACGGCTCATCACGGAGAGCGGGGAAGACTAATCCCACGGGCCTCTCCCACGATTCTTATGCACCAATGGGCAGCGGAATGCAAAGGCCAGGAGCGAGCCCTAATTGCAGCATGGCTTGCCTCAGGCGGCAAGCGGAGAAAGGTAACACCATCCAGACTTATGATGGATGTTTTGCATGGCACGGGCCTTGCCGCACTCGCCGACGCAGTCCTTCCACCAATCCATGTTGTCAGACTTCGTAAGCAGGTAGTCGCCCATCCGGCCGGAGACTGGCATCGCAGGCGTTACCTGCTCTTCGAAGTCCTTGTGCCACCTGTCCTTGACCAGCATGAACTTCATGTCTTTCCGATTTCGGCATAGCAGAACTGCTTGTATCTGTGGGTGGCGCAGTCCTTGTTGTACTTGACGTTGCAGCCCTTCCACCAGTCCATGTTGTCAGCCTTCTTCCGCAGGTTTGCGACCTTGTTGATCTTGCGATGGCCTGGGGCATCGATGAAGACTGTGTAATGCCACTTCTCGGTGTAGAAGTCTCGGGTGGCGCAGGCGCTGGTCACCCCGCTCTCGTGCTCCTCCTTCTGACGGTCCGTCCATGTAGAACGTGAAACGGATGGGGCCTGGTACTAGGCATACGGCCTCCTCCTGCAGTTTCTCCAGCTCGCGTTGCGGAAGGCCGCCCAGGTCGTAGTTGAGGCGGGCGGTGGTGGTGCTCTCGCCGATGTCGACATGCCCGCAGATCACGATGGAGAGGTGCTCCTTCGCAAGAGTGGCAGGCATGGCAGACTGGTGGGGAAAGATCCGACAAACTCTGGGGGCGTAAGCGAACGCGAAGTGTTCGAGCCCCAAGCTCCTGAACCTGACCAGGAGTGAAATGCTGTGGTGTCCTCGGCCCCCAGAGGCCGAGGACTTGAGCCAGGAGGAGGAGGAGGAGGAAGAGGAGGAGGAGGAGGAGGAGGAGGAGGAGGAGGGGGATGGGGGAGGAGGAGGAGGAGGAGGAGGAGGAGAGGAGGAGGAGGAGGAGGAGGAGGAGGAGGAGGAGGAGGAGGAGGAGGAGGAGGAGGAGGGAGGGAGGGAGGGAGGGAGGGGAGGGCGGGCGGGAGGGAGGGAGGGAGGAGGGAGGGAGGGAGGATGAGGAGGGAGGGAGGGAGGGAGGGAGGGAGGGAGGGAGGGGGAGGAGGAGGAGGAGGAGGAGGAGGAGGAGGAGGAGGAGGAGGAGGAGGAGGAGGAGGGAGGAGGAGAGAGGAGAAGGAGGAGGGGAGGAGGGAGAGGAGGAGAGAGGGAGAGGATGAGGAGGAGGAGAAGGAGGAGGAGGAGGGAGAGGAGGAGAGAGGAGGAGGGGGAGGAGGAGGGGGAGGGGGGGGGGGGGGAGGAGGAGGAGGAGGAGGAGGAGGAGGAGGAGGAGGAGGAGGAGGAGGGGAGGAGGAGGGGAGGGGGGAGGGAGAGGAGGAGAGAGGAGAAGAGAGGACGGAGGAAGACAGGAGGAGGAGGGAGGGGGAGGACGGAGTACGGGAGAAGGAGAGATGGGCAAGCCAGGCGCGCTGGCGCCATACCTGACATCCTGCCTCTCCCACCCTACAGTGGGGGCGTTGACCTAAGGAACGCTCAATAAGGAACGAGGCCCCTTTTTCCCATCAGTTAAATTTCGATTTCCCATCGAAAACCTAAGGAATACCTAAGGCAAGCTGTGCAACAATCAAGGAACACGGAGCCCCTCCCCAACGAAAAGGGTTCCTTCTTCAGGGCCTCGACTGTACCCTTCCCATTACGCTGCGCTTTTGATTATGCGCTAGCGGGTGTCATATGCGACCTGGGCCCCCGCAAGGATCACAACGTTGCATGCGCAATCTGGAGATCGAGGCTATGCACATTGGAGAAAGATGATCAGCAGGAGGACGAGCATGGTAAAGAGGAAGAGGCCGCGGCAGTACAGCAGCTGGAGCAGGAGGGAGCGGACGGAGCAAGAAGACCAGGGGACGGCTGGGGGCGCAAGGAAGAAAACGCCAACGACGAGGAATCACTCGGATCCAGAATGCTGGTCCGCGCGTGGGCGGAAGCGTGATGCTGGACGACGGGGGCACAGCGCCGATCCCGATACGAGGGAGAGAAGCAGTCA